TGACTACACCCTATTATCAATTAAATGTGTGAATTATTTTTCTCAGATTTTCCATATACTAGTACATCTGTGTACTGTTACAGCAAATTATCTTTCTCTTTTTATATTTTTAAATACTGTAGTTCTATAATTATCTTCATGGGAGAAAAGAAATTAAAAGCAAAGTTGTTTATTTCTTTATATTACTACATGTATAACTTATTTAATATATACATGTACCTTCTTAATGCATGAATGTTTCAGATAAAATATTTCCTTTACCATATTTGTAACATTTGACCAAATTTGCCTCTGGCTGATACCGGATTAATTCTTTCTTAAAAAAAATAATTTTATACCTTGCGTCCATAAATTCTCTTTGCTTCAGATCTTTCATTTTCTTCAATCTTTTTATCATCCAGGACTTCCAGCTTGGGAAAATGGGCAATGACAAAATGTCTGAAGAGTGAAAAATATAAATATATTAATTAGTCCCAACTTTTGAAATGTTTGGCTTGCATAAGATTCTTCCTAATCTGAAGTGTCAATTTTTGTATTTCTTTAAATTTCCTATGTTCAGTCAACATGAAAAGCATAATTAATTTAATTTTAACAAACAATTTTCTTATTTCATTAAAGCAATTCTTATCCTGAACAAGAGACTCATGGGCCACAGTGCTCACCTGAGTAACAGTTGTCCTGCTATTCATTAAAAAAACAGACACTGAAAAATTTTCTTGGAAAAATTTACCTCCACATTGTTACCAACCCTATCTCCCCCCCCCCCAAAAAAAAGGGAGGGGGTTGTTACCATAAACTTTGAGAAAGTTTAGCATTTTTGGATTGTTGATATCATACTTGGCACTACTACTATTGTTTGTATACATTAAAATTACGTGTTCATGAATAGTGAAAGATTTTTCTTTAAAATTCACTACAAAAAAACCTTTATTGTGGTCCACTCAACCCTCCTGAGATTGAAAACTGAACAAGTAAATTTTACCTGTAATCCATATATTGCTGGTAAGTACCTCCATTGAAGTAGCTCGGGGCAGCTTCATTGTTCATCATTGACAAAAACTTCAGGTTTGGACAAGACTTGCACAACGTTGAGATAAACAAACCTGTTACACAAAACAAACAATATAAACAAAGCAAAAAAAGACCAGATATGTTTGTGACACTTGTGCCCTAGTACATATGACAGCTTTTTTCAAATGTTAAAACTCAAATGCAAGTCAAACTATATAATGTCATGGTCAAAAGATGAAACAACAAAAAAGGACTGTTTCAATGAATTATACTTGTGATTCATGAAAGCCTAAGCACCAACCATTCCAAATTTATGGCCAAGGTTAAAGCTTTCTAAAAGTGGGTCAAACTGCTAGATGTAGGTCAAGGACAAAAGTTCTAGGTCAGAAGGTTAAAATTAGAGGTACTCTGGAGGAAGGCTTTGTCATAGAAAAATTACACGTGAAATCTAAAACCTCTAGCACTAATTGTTCATAAGTTATGGTAAAGGTTAAACAATTCAAAAATAGGTCAAACTCCAAGGTCAAGGTCAAAACTATTACTATCCAATTTAAAGGAAGTTTATGTCACTAGGAATACATCTGTAAAATATGAAAGACTTAAAACATGTAATATGAGATAATTTATATCACATACCTAAATTTGTAATTTTATTGTGATTTACCCACAATGTTTGAAGATTGGTGGAGGTTGGAATTTTCACATGTGACTCAATATTATTGTGATCCAGAACTAAGCAGGTTAGTCTAGGAAAATCTATCAGAAATCGGAGGTCATTAAAAATAAAGTTAAGGAAATTAAAAACACAAATTGAGCATGAATAAAACTTCTTAACTTTCCTTTCAGTCAAACTCAAGTTATCGTATAATGTTTATCATCTTTAAATCTATTTTAGTGGTGTGTAATACTGTGCGAAATAATTCTGAATTCAAACCTACAATGTAGAACTTATGTTACTAAACATTACAAATGTTATTAGGCTAAGCATTGTTTAAACTATAATTTCAAATGTATTATTATCCATTTAAAAACTAAATGAAAACAAAAATAGGTATACCCAAAGGACATGAATGTCCTGCTAGAGATTTACATGTATTAGTAATTCAACATGCTTACATAATAAAATATCAACTGAGCAATGAGTAGTTTCTTTGAAACTGAGCAAAGGGAAAAAATACTAATATATTTATATTAAGGCTACATTTTTTGGGAACCTTTTGAATAGTTCTAAGCAACATGCATCAGTTGGTTTGTAAAGATAACTGCAAAAGTTTCTTCAAAGCTGCGCTAAATGCAAATTTATGAAAAGTGAGGTCAAAGAAAAAGGAAAGATCAACGTACAAAATCTTATTGATATGTATCAGCAAACTGCATTATAGATTTACAATTTCTAAAGTATATTTTTTTGTAAACAGTCTTTAAACCTACATGAACAAAAAAAAAAAATCTTCTCAAAGACTTTTTCTTTGAAGAATTTAAATAATCATGTGTATTACATTTTTGCTCGTATACTTTATTATAATCAGTAACATAGAAAAGGAAATTCTGGTGATTAAGAAAGGATATGATATTTTGTTGTGAGTCAGATCTATTTCTTGCAAAGATTCACCCTCGGTTTCTGCCAAATTTGCAGGAATTATGTCCAAATCCTGAAAATATTAAACATTTGAATTAATTATTAATGTCAACAGGTTTCTTCAGCAGCTAAATTTCACCAATCTTTAAACAAAGCTGTGACAAAATAATTGTTATTTTTATTTTATTTATTTATTTATTTTTCTGCAAGCAATTAATGGAATGAGGTATAAAAAGACAGAGCATATTACATCAGGGTTCGACACTAACAGTAGCCCGCTGGCCCAAGACAACTGAATATTGAGGTTGGGCTACTTAACATGACTTTAAACTTGCTCTGAAGGGCCACTATAATTCTTAACTAAACACTCATTTGGGGCAATTTAAATGATAAATTTAAACAATTACACAAATTCCAGTTTTGTTGGAGTCACATACATGTATAATCCAAAGTACAGCCAGCATGCAGTATTTGGCATCTATATTTTCAAAATTTACCCGAGGAGCCCCAGCAGAAGGGGGAACCCCTCCCTCACCTACCCCACTCGTCACTTTGCGACTCAGCCAGCAGTTTTTGGCTGCTGGACAACTAATGCATGAACAGGGCTACAGTGGCTGGAACGTTATTGTTGACAACTTACACGAACGATCATGTTACACGAACGATTCTGCACGAACCTGGTACACGAATGATCTTTCACGTTCACGATTCTACACGTTACACGATCTTACACGATTGTTAATGCAAACGCAGGTTTTTTCACTCAGAATAGTTCAAAATATTTAGGAATCAATATTTTCAAAACGAAATATGGCTTAATACTTGTTTAAGATTTCAAAGAATTATCAATATTATTTCATCGACTTTGAAGAAAAAAACTGGAAATTGATATTTCTGTAACTAAATATATGCAAGACTTAATATTTTAGATTAAAAATAATTATTTCTAAGGTAATTCTCCGATCAAAGAAAACGGATTTTGTTCGTTCTATTAGACGATGTACATGTATGTGGGTCGTATAATTTGATTGAATTGGATATCATGATATACAGAAAGGGGGATACGATTGAACAAAAACGGCAGCATGAAATGACTTAAATTATAATTACAAATTTTATCCTTATGTTTCCATTGATTCAATGTCTGATAAACTTGCCGATTATTCAACTTTTTTATTTGCAGAAATTTAATCAATTACAAATAAGCTCAAGAGCTAAGCACAGATAATCAAAACTCCCGAAAATCATGCCGTGTCCATGTATATTTGTCAACTAACTAGTTATGTAAGCATTGAGAAATGTTTATTTCTTTGTAAAAAAGAATATTTATTTTCAATGAAAGGATTTCAAGATTATCTTGACCACAATAAGAAGTAAATAATAATTAAAATCAGATTTTTCAAAAAGGCGTTAGAGATCTAAGTACGGTGTATCACATTATTGATCGCACTATTTGACGAGAACTTAATATTGTACGACTTACTATATTGCTTGTTTACGGGCGATAATTAGTTCGTTCTGCATTCTATTATGTAAATTGCGCTTTTTCAATTAATTTGGATTTTAATTAATAAATTAAGAAAAACAAACAAGGGAAATGCTTATTTTACAAATAACATTCTGATAAAAACTTACAAAACGAAATTTACACGATTCTAAACGCACTATCTCGCACGATTAAAAACGCACACGATTGAGTCTGATAAACGAACGATCTCGCACGTTACACGAACGATCATTCATGATACACGAACGATTCTACACGATTGGTTTGTCAACAATAACGTAGAAGTAGAAATAAGAAATTGCTAGCCCTTCTGGCAATTATGGTTTTAAAGTTAGTGTCGATCCCTGCATTACATCAGTACAAACTGTACTCGATTTATTTACAAACTGAGCGTGTTAATAGACTTTATGAATTGACATACTGAACATGTTTTAAAATATACACTTGACAAGTAAAATTTATACCTGATAAGCCAGGTTTTTTCTCATTTTGGACTCCCTTCTCTTAGCTTTACAGAATTAAACACATGACATTATCCAAAGTGTTGCACTGAATTAAAAATAAATAAATTATATACTTTTAAACATTTAATTAATACACGTACTACATAATGACAGTTACATGAGTATGCTGAATGTTAAGTGGATAACCTTGGCAGTTGCTTGACTCGGCTATCAATCTTCAATTAATTTTGATGTTTTTAATTATCTTTTCATACATTCAAGAATAACAATTAATTTTTATACCAATAACAAACATTACCAATATTTTACTCCCTAAATTTGGTCGGCAATCATCAATTAAATGTGACATATGGAAATTGAATATATTTCACATTGTTTACGTTGTGGTGTCCGCCATTTTGAACATCACATGACTTCCCCTTCAAGGACACACTAAATACCCTCCAGGAAGTCATAGGCGCATATATCCTTATTTCTCGATTTTTTTAAAAATATATTTGAATACTATCAGATTAATTTATATCAAGAATGTCAAAACAGTTATACATACTGATTATATATATATCTGTACATGTATTCTAAGTTTGATGGGGGTGAGGTCTGTTGTGTACTGTTGTAGGGCGCAGGCGCGGATCCAGAATTTTTCCGAGGGAGGGGGGGGGGGGGGGTGGTCCCCCACAGTAAAAAAAATCTACCCAAGAAATTTTTGACAAGATAAACAAATAAATAAATGAATAAAATAAATAAACATTAACTCCTATCCAAATATCTCAAATGTGAACAACCTATATCGGAGAGGGGGGAGGTATCGTTGACTCTATGACTTTTCAGCACAGGCGCATGACTTTTTTAACCTTTCTTCTCATACTATATAGAGGATTTTTTTTATTTCTGAAAGGAAAGGTTACTAATGTCAAGCGCATGTGCTTTTTAGACAAAGAATGTATTCACTATGACAAAAGATTTGACCTATAGTGGGCTATAGCAGAGAACAATTCCCCGGAAAAAGTGATATTTAAAAATCAATCTTTACTTTTTTTTCTACCGTATATGTCTTAATTTTTCAAATATGTATTTTACACCTCAAATTTGTAATTTACAACTTTACAATAAGCCTCCAAAATTGTCCGAAACGCAATTATGTCCCGGCGTTAAGGGACTCCGACCCTCAGCCAGGAAGGACAACTCTTTAATTTATAATTTAATTCAAAAAGTCTTTAAGGATGTACAACACACCTACCCCAAAAAATTCCTGTCGTTTAATTTTCGTTATTTTTGTATATCTAGTACATGACTATATCTACTGCATGTATGCATATTTTGGACAAAATCGTTCGAGTGGTTTTTGGACAGGAACTTCCGAACGTTACCCCCCTTTAGTTGTTTACAAGGAGAAAAAAATTTAATCAATGAACTACTTAAACCTTGATTTTCAAAAAAACCCGGTTAGATATAAATGTCAAATTTCATTGGCTTATTCCTTTAACCATTTAACACAAAAACATAGTCATCTTTTTGATATACATATCATCAAAATAATTTTTAAAGACCTTAAACTGAAAAAGTATGAATTATCTAAGCCTTAAAAATTGCGTATTTTTCAAATTCAAAATTTTCTTGTGAAAAAACCTGTCGTTTATTTTTGTAAAAAAATTTCTTTAGGTATCTGGTATTAAAAATAATCTTAATAATTTTTTGTATAATTTTTGTACGACCAGTTTTGATTTAATAGCGGAAAATTACCCCCTCCCCCTTTCTCAATAAATCACGTTCCCGCGCGTCTTTCAGACGGGGGTCGATCACTTTGTTATATGAATCTACAAATACACATTAAAAAAAATTAAATTGAAATATTGCTTTTGCTTCAAAAATATATTAACTTCCAAATTTATAAGTTCTCATATGTAAAGCGTATTTAAATGCAGATTTTTAGGCAATTTTTGAATACCCATATCACCCCCACCCCTTCCTTTTTTGCGTCGCAGACCATTAGCGTTTGACGAAACGTCGTTTACAGTGCAAATATACTGGTGTTTCGTCATTTGAATCCCGGAGGTATGCATTAGTTTTTAAATTCATGAATGCAGAATAAATATTGATTACTCTTTTTATATGTATCAGGAAAAAATTACTGAAGGATTTTAGTGTTTAGTCCGTATATGTATGCGTTATGCATTCCATATCACATGAAACCTGGATACGAATTCAAGTTTTGTTGAACTTGAATATTTTGATTTTTAATCTTATTTCTTTAATTTTATTCATTAAAAAAAATGGTGTATGTTCATATCTCCTGTGATATAAATGGAATAATTGTGGTTTCTTTCATGACATTATTTCAAACGAGACAGTATGTGGCTGTGGGGATACATCGACATTTGCATAGATGTACACCCCTCATGATAATTGTATACGCATTTCTTTCAATGTCGTCGCTTCTAAAGTTAAAATGAAAATTCCGTATTCGTCCACATTAACTTCAAAATATCAAACATTAAACTCTTCATCTATTTCAATTTATATCAAATCGCACTTTGATATTTTTTAATCTTATAGGCTACGTTTTCTTTTGATTCGAGGAAATGCGAACCGACATTGTTGACAGAAAGTCAAACGATTTGCTGCAATAGGATATTCATAAATGCAAATAATTTCAGTACAAGTAAACAATTCTTTTCAATTCTATACTTACATTGTGTATATGAGGTCTATAGTATTCAATTCTCGGATTTATCAGGTCTTGCTGTATATGTATCTGATTATGTGGAAAACTGTGAATAAAGGGAGGAAAATAAACATCTCCTACATTTTCAGAGTTGTTCCTCTTTGATCAGTAAGGGTCTGAGAACAACATCGATTTTACATTGTAAAAAGTTTTTTTTTTTTTGGTTTATTTATTGTTGTTTAATATTTAATTAAAGAAGAAAAACAATATTTATGTCGTAAATGCACGAATTGTAATGAAGACCATTAATCGGAATGTTATATAGCCAATTGTACATAATGAGAATTTCGGCAATGTAAAATAAAATTTTCAGAATAAAAAAAAATGCTGCGCTTTGATCAAAAATACAATTTATTGTACATATGAAATGAAATGAAATAAACATTAAGGGATGGTATTTTATGTCTTGCTTTTTACGGAGTTTAATCGGGTTAATTAAAAAATACTTATTGATTGAGTATGGTACGCACAATCACAGCCAAGCCCCATATCCCAATTTTCTTTCATGATTGATATACATCGGGATCGTTTTATTCGTCGTTTTGACGCTTTTGACGCTTTATTTTGGACGTTAAATTTGACGTTACGTCAAACGTTCAATTGAAATCGCAAGAGTTATCTCCCCCAGTGTGTTGTACGTCTTTAAATGAAGCTTGAACATTAAATCTTTTCATGCAACAATTTTCATTATATGCCTTTCAATGTGCTTCAAGGTTCTTATATAATTTGCAAACATAAATGACATGTTTTATTATATCCACGGAAAAATAGCCTAGACTTATCAGTAACTGTACTCCCTTGGATTTCATTTAGGCTTATATAATTTGCACAGATTAATGACATGCTTTATTATATCTACGGGAAAATAGCCTAGACATTCTAGAATAGAATTTCAGAGACAGTAGACATTACCATTATGCACAATGAGAAGTAAAGGCAAACTTAAATAAAAATTATAAAATTGGGAGATAACAAATTCAGAAAATTAATTAAAGGGTTCCTACTAGTAAGACTTGAAATAAAGATTTAGGAAAAACAAATTGTTATATTATTAAGCCTAATGTCAATAATCGGAACAGGAAATCGACAAGCTTTTTGTAGAGAAAAACGAGGGCCGTCCTATGGGTCAGATCCCAATTTATAATGAAGTGATCCTTTACACAAATCCGGGGGGTGGGGTGGGTGGGTGGGTTAGGTCTCTGTCATTTGGTTTGGCAAAATCGTTTAATAACTGCAATCTCCAGGGGTGGTGGTGGTCCCGACCCCCACCCTACTCCACCCTGCATTTAGGGAGACATGTACCTAGAATTAATAAACTATCATGATAAAACAACAGGGAAATATGATAATATCTGCATGCCCCACCCAGTGTATTACAAGGCCATTCACAATGAGCAAATGCCTTGGGCAAAGTTATTATACCCTCCGCTCGAAAAGCAAAAGGGTAATACATATAGTAATTGTTATGTCCGTCCGTCTGTCTGTATAACGCTTTGGGGCACCCATCTCTTATCCGCAACTCCTCTCATACCACTGAATGAAATTTTATGAAATTTTCACAGAATCTTTATTACATACATGTACGAGGGTTGATCCAAAAGTTCGTGGAATTTCTTTCTTAAATTTTATCGTGTTTGATAAAAGCAAACAATAGGCATTTTTATAAAAAAGAGTCACATAATGCAACAATGCTGGAAAATTTCTTCACGTTCCAATCACCAATAAGGTCACATGCACGAGCTTTCTGAAAATTAATAGTTGTGAAACCCGGGGGAGACCTCGACGTAACGTCTAGTAAGGTATGTCACGTTACGTTATAGAAGCATCAAACCCTAATGTCCAATTCAAACGCGTAATTCTACAAAATGCTACCCTTCTCTCTTTTTGTCTCATGAAAAGCCTGGAAGTCTTCTCGCATTAACTTATCTTCCTTTTTAACTCATATTTCAAAATTCCCATATCTTTCCGTATGATATTCCAATTTCACTAGCAATGTCACGAACAGTACGTCAGCCGACTAAGTCCATTAACGCTTTTAATTCATCAAGGGGGAAAACACTTAAAACAGAGTCTCAATATGGCGGCAACACCTTTAATCAACGTCCATGGAAGTTCTATTTTCTTAAATTAATTTCGCCACTGGAAAACCAGTAACTAAATGCATTTCCCCCCAGCCTATGTAATTAATATGTGAATTGAAGAGAGAGTGATCCCGGGATTTTTACAAAACTTATGACTTGACCGAAATTTGACGTCGTATAAAAACCTAAAGAAGAACAATTAATTTGGCACTTATGAACAAATTATCCAGTAAAATCAGTAAAACTTACACAAAAAGGGTTATAAAAGATCAAGCAATCGTAATAATGACATAATTTTTGTTTTCTGTAACACATAGGGCGGTTTTATTCCTATTTCAAGTATTAAGAATTAAAATGATAATAAACGCATTGATATCTCCCCCGCATTTCCAAACATCCGTTTCTATGGCAACTGTCATAGAGTTACCATCACAGATATTTAAAATATGTTTTATTTGAAATATTCAACAAGTGTCTATATTCTCATTTGTAACTTTCGACCAATTTTACTTATTAATAAATAAAATAGAAAGAAATTCCACGAACTTTTGGATCACCCCTCGTATTGCCATTGTGCACGTCCTATTTCAATTTTTGAATTGACACATATTTGGGGTTTCCCACAGCACAACATGGACACTCCCATTATATTCATATGGGAGGCGGGATGTATAAAATATCATTTAGTGAGCTCATTGCTCACAGTACCTCTAGATCTAGTATAAAAATAAAATTGTAAAAATTCTCACAAATATACAATAAAAAAGTATCTATCTGTTACATTTCGCCTGATCAAATTTGAGCCTCTTTCTGGCAGACCAAAATGTTCGGTTGCTGCTTGATCAAGGAATGTTAAAATTAGCTTGAGGTAAATGTTTTTAACCTTTCTTTAGGCCAGCTCTTCTATTTCCTTAAATTGTCAGACCTAGCTCAATGTATCATTCCAGATAAACAAACACCGGTAAAGGTAAATACGTCCATTTTCTGATCATCTTCTTCGTACTCTGCATGCAGGTAAAGAATTTAGAGATATGGGATTTCAGTACATGGATTCTGTTAAAAGAAAAAAAATCAAATATATAGTTTATAGCGATAAATTTATAGTTCTTTCTTTGGAAAAGTGATTATATGAATTAAATATTAGTAAAGCATGGGGGACAATAAACTAAATATATTTCATTTATATTTTGATTGATTGATTTTTTAAATTGATTTATTTATCTATTATTTCTTTTTTATTATTTTTATTATTTACATGGATTTATTTATTTATTCATTTTTTAATTTTGTTTATATGAAGAAAAATATAGGAAAAAACGGATGTGTGTTTCTTGAATTGATACTCATTTAAAATGGAGAGGGATTTTTCTACTATCTTGACTGCAGCACAGAAGCTTAAAACATGTTCTCAGTGTGAAGAAGGAATTTTATACCTCTGCAAAACCTGCAGCGAGGGTCTTTGTAAAGACTGTGTACATCATCACGTGTCTAGATTAGGACACGTTCAGCACTCGATAGTTCTGTACAGAAACAAGAACTCGGATATGGTCTTCCCGTCCTGCGACAAGCATCCTAGCTACAAACTTGATACTTTCTGCAGACGATGCCGCGTCCCACTCTGTCTTGAATGCTGGATTTCCTGTAGAAAACATGATAATCACCAATTTGGCTACTTGAAAGAGTTCATAGATTTAAAGAAACGGGAAATTATATCAGGAATGAAATATCTGGAAAATGCACTGAAAGCCCAGGTTATTTCTATAGGAACAAAACTTCAAGTGGAAAATAATAAATATGGCGGTGCAATAAAGAACGCAGAGGCATCGGAATACAATATTCTTAATGAGGTACAGGAAATATTCTCGAAATTGAAGACAAGAATGCAGCTTAATAAAGAGAAGTCATTGTCATTGCTTCGAAATCAAACGGTTTATGTAGAAGATGCTCTCAAAACAGCGTTGAAGATGGTTCATAGGAGCTCTATGATTTATTCAAAAGACGATTCCAATTTATCAGAAATGTTCGATTTCGTCAAACAAATTCAAGAAACAAAATCAATGCTTCCCGATCTTCATTCTGGAGATCTGAATCGCCTTCATCATCCAATAATTGTCAATGGTAAATCTCTTCGACTTGTTCAGCACGTTTGTAATAATGCATTTGAAAATCTCTCAATAGAAACTTGCCAAACCTCTTTAAAGACAACGTTTTCCTACCACATTTCAGACTTGTTGAACAATGCCGTGCTTATAAGAACAATAAATACCGGACAGAAAAACATTCTGCGTTTCGTGTATTGGGATTCGTCACTGTGGTTGTGTTCTCTCAAGAGTACAATATACCAACTAAAATTAGTCTCTGGAATTTCATCACTCAGTCTTTGTAAGGAAATCATGTGTCCAGATATGCCTCAGGACATTACAGTAAGCGGCGATGAACTTTTCTATAGTTGTTGGCAAGAAGGAATCTTCCGTGTGAAAGATGGAAAATCAAAAATGTATCTATCTATTCCAAACTGGAATGTGGAAGGTTTGTGTGGAACTAGAACAAACGGACTTCTGGTTTGTATGTCGAATTCAGAGCTACAGGAAGTCAAGATTGTCCGCTTTGAGCCTTCTCTGGACATTGAAAACATTAAGTTAACACAGGAAATACAATACCATGAAGACAAAGATCACCCTTTATTTCAGTTTGGAAATGAACGACTTTTTGTCGCAGAAAATAAAAACGGAGATATATGTGCTTCAGATACCAACGCTGATGCGGTCATTGTAGTCACAGAACAGGACAATTTCGATTTAAATACCAAGGAAGGAAAGTAATTCACAAAACATTATTTAAACCAGATCAAATCATCACGGATTCTTTTTGCAATATTATTGTAAGTGACTACTTTAACAATTGTTTGCATATTCTCGATCAGAATGGATCGTATGTAAATTGTGTGAAGGAGTGTGAATTAGATATACCGGTGCCTTTGGACTTGGACGATGATGGCAATCTCTTGGTAGGAATGTATTTATCGGGGCAGTTAAAAGTTATTAAGTATAATAGCAATTGACAAGTGAAAGGGTCAAGATTTGAATTACAACATTTTGAGATAAATGATTTTTAAAAAGCAAACACGAGTTGTCCTTCGTTACAAACTTTATGAACTTTTGACTTGGTCAAGATACTTACAGAAAACCACGTGACAATACAGTACCTTTTGTATATTTAAACAGGTTTTGAAGGTAAGTTTATTCGCTTTAATTTGTTTTCTTTTTCATAAAGATATCTGTGGTTGGAAAAGTCAGTCGATATATTAAATGACTGAAAAATTTTTAGATAAGGAATTGGTTATATATATTGTTTGTCTTTATCACTTTTTCGTTCCATGATCAATAAATAGATAATAGTCAATCTATACATTATTATTATATTAATATTAAGACAAAGAGCCAATCGGAACTTATCTTAATAACATTGACAATGTTTTGATACATATTTGTTACTTTTAATAACACTGTGTTCTGTCCCTTTTTTTTTTTTTTAAAGATTTCCAACCATTGTGTTGTTTGTACTTGCTACTAAAGAAATGGGGTCTATTTTGCCTTATCTCGGATATTCAGGACGACAATAAATAATAATTCAAAAGCTTTTGGTCAGATTTATTTATATCACACGCATCGTCTTCCAAAACTTGGAAAAAAGTTAGTGGGTCACAATCTCTTTTACTTTCAATAGAACTTTTTTTCAACGTGTAATCCAAAACACTAACTAAAGCTTATTTTATCAAATACACAATACATTAGACCGGAACGATTTTCATAGCCACACATTGAAAGGTAATGCATGAATGAATATGATATTTAAATTATTTATAAGAAATAACAGAGGCTATGCATTGCATTTACGGTTGTGTTTTAAATCGCAGTGATTATTTTTGGCATTACAAGTATACTTGATGTGATATAAAACGAAAAATTTACTAGACTAGTAATAGTAGAGTAACAAAAAATATTGAGGTACAATTTCTTTTTATTCAAAGTTATATTGATTTTGAGTATAACAAAATTTAAAGTCTCATGAACACAGACTTTTATTGATAAACAGTGTTGCATCATTCTTCAAGACACCCCAAACTAGGAGCTGAAAAGGGATTTTAGCCTTTTATAATTGAAAACAAAGGAAGTCATGCGGAACAAAAATCTGCTACATGTATTTAGCAACATTACCTAGCTTTCTTTTTTGGATCACAAACGGTTTTGATAAAACACCATTTTTAATGATGCACCAATGGTTTTTTTATTCTTTGTACAAAAAAGAATACTTATCTGCGCTGTTATGCACGTAGTTGTACTTCAAATTTACACTTTTCTTATTTGAATTGAGCTTTTGTTTAAATATCGAACCGAGAATAAAATGCATAATTTATTGTTTTGGGTTTTTGTTTTATCTTGCTAATTTGGATTCCCGACAAACTTGTTTAAGGAATTTCCTGTAATTGTACACCATTTCTTTAAAATGTTTTTAAGTTAAAGACAACGTTTGTTTGCCAGTACTCATCATTCAACTTATTAAATATTAAAATATGCATGTACATGTACATTTTTTTCCTAATGCATTTGTAATTTTGTTGTAGATGTGACCATGCAAGTAGTCTTAAAGAAAAAAAAAATAAATATTCTCTTTATGCTCAACCATAATTCTTTGTAACAAAAAAAGACTTCACCATGACAGAAATGCAATGGCTTAAAACATGTTTCCGATGTACAGAGGGGATTAGGTATATCTGCAAAAATTGTCGGGACAGTTTCTGTGAAAAATGTGTGCAAGAACATGTGGAACGATTAAGATATGTTCAACATTCTATAGTTCTGTACAGATACAAGAACTCTAAAGTGGACATTCCATCCTGCAACAAACATCCTTGCTACAAACTTGATACTTTCTGTCGACGATGTCTTGTTCCTCTTTGTCTGAAATGTTGGACCTACTCTAAAACACATGCCAATCACAAATTTGGTTACATGACAGAGTTAATTGATATCAGAAAAGAAGAAATCTTATTCGAGTCAAACAACTTACAGTCGGTTATTATTCCAAACCTGCTAAACAAAAGCATTTCTCTAGAAAAGGAGTTGACAGAGGCAGAAAATGAATTTGATGATGCATTGAAGAACATGGAGGAAACAAAATGCAACATTCTAGAAGATATAAATAAAGTGTTTAAAGATCTACAGGGACGAACTAATAAAAAGAAGGAAAATATGTTATCTATATTCAGAAACAAGGCCGTTCAAGTAAAAGACGCTCACTCCAAAGCATTGCAAGTGCTTCAAAGAAACCGCTCAGTTGTACAGCTGGAAGATGACAATGGTTTACAAAAGATACTAAACTACAAAGCGTATGATGAACCATGTTTCTCAACTCATGGACATCATTTGGACAAAGTCCATAATGATCTTGATGACCCTATTGTTGTGCATGGCAGATCCTTAAATGTGGTACAAGAGGTTCATTCTGGTGGGTTCGGAAGTCTTGTGGTTGACCTCCAATATAGTTCTACAGAAGACGGGTCCATCTCTGATGGATGTGGATTGCTGAAAAAAGCTTTCGTGATAAAAACAATTCAAACTAGTGCTAATTGTAACGGCAACCGTTACAGATGTTCCCCAAACGCTCCCCAACTCCCTTTCGGTGCCATATCCCCTGTAAGCTTCATTAAATAAGACAAACTCTGTGGATTTTTGACTTTAACAATGTTTTCCCAGAAGGATATTAATTATATTCAATTTTTAGCATTGCACCCAAGCGCATGTGAATGCATGTGCGTTATGACCATATCATCTTGTCTACACTATTTATATATTTCAATATACTATATATTAGAGCATTCAGTCCAAAAGTAATAAAAATCACTCATTCAAGAGTATTTTTAAATATACTCGTTTCAAATGCACGCACGTGCGTGCACGTGCATTATAATAATACCTTCTTGTAGGAGTCCCTTACATCTATATATGTTCTAAATCCTATCCTGTTTGGTTGACAAACAAGGGAGTTATAGCCATTTAAAGTTTCAGCCAATCAGATTTCAGCACACGTGCATGCGCGTAATTTCATGATTTTTTTAAATATCATTTTGTAGAATATCCTAATGCATGACTATATTTTAAATTTCAAAGAATTTCGTCAAAAAAAACAAAGGATAAATAGTTATTTAAAGTTTCAGCCAATCAGATTGCAGCACACGTGCATGCGCGTGATTTCATGATTTTTTTCTATATCATTTTGTAAGATATCCTAATGCATGACTATATTTTAAATTTCAAAGAATTTCGTCAAAAAACAAAGGAGAAATAGCCATTTAAAGTTTCAGCCAATCAGATTGCAGCACACGTGCATGCACGTGATTTCATGATTTTTTTTCTATATCATTTTGTAGGATATTCTAATGCATGACTATATTTTAAATTTCAAAGCACTTCGTTAAAAAACAAAGGAGATATTGCCATTTAAATTTTCAGCCAATCAGCATGCAGCACGCGCACATGCGCATGCTTTCATGAAAATTCTTATATATCATGTGGTAGACCTTCATAATGTAGGACTATGTTCAAAATTTCAAAGGATTATGACAAGAAACAAGAAAGTTATTGAGACTTTAATTTCAGCCAATCAGAGCAAAGCGCACGTGCATGCACGTGAGATCTTGCTATTTTGACCATGCTATCTTGTCTATACTACTAATGTATCCTTACATTATGAGTTTCAAAAAAATTCATCAAAAAATAGAAAAGTTACGGCAATATCCATTATATTGGTAATTTCACATGTTGCACGTGCGCGCTCTTGCAAGCACGTGCGCGCAAAATGACCTTTGTTTGGCAACTCTACATAACATGCCTACTGACCCTTAAAAGGTTTCACCTAAGTCGGATGTGTAGTTTACAAGATCACTCGTGGACAAAATTTTCCCAGGAAGAAGAAAAATAATAATAATAACTAGATACGATCTCGTTGCGAGCAACGAGTGGGTCTTCCGTCCGATTCTTGATAAGATGAGATAAGATTTTGATTGAGATTATCATTCTAAAATAATGATTTTCCATAATCTGTGAAAAGACATTGAACATTAAAGACTTTCAAAAAATCAACTTTTGGTCCCTCACGGCCTCAAACATTAGGGATCAGCCCTTTTTCCTTCATATCACCTGAAAGCTCTAATGATTTTGTTGACTTTTTGTTCAACAACTATTCAGAGAATTTTTTGTCCGTTTTTGAGTTATTCACATAAGAAATAGTTAGGGACCAGCCCTACAACTCCTTAATGGGGACGTTAAGCGAAAAATAACAGGTTACATATCGTTCAGAACATGGTTTTGAACATCTTTTGTTCAATATTACTTATCAATATATTTCTCATTTTCGAGATATAAAGCGTCGAAGATTAAGCATTCTAGCCCCTTTTGGCCCCTAATTACGTACCATACGACATGAAATTATAATAAAAGTAGTTGTAAATGGTTGAGATAATAATCTTTGCTTAGTTATATATTACAAAATATTAACAATTAGAGAGTTATCGATTGAAAACTTTTTGCCCCTCTTGGCCCCTAATTTAAGCACCCAGCCCCTTTTTTGTGATTTCATCTGAAAGCTCTTAAATTTTGAACACTTTTTGTTCAACAACTATTCAGAGATTCTTTTTCCTTTTCGGGTTATTTGCAAAAGAGACATTAAGGGGCCAACCCTTCAACTCCCTAATGGGGACTTTTAGCGAAAAATGAAAGGTTGCATATTGTTAAGAACATGATTTTGAACATCTTTTGTTCAATATTACTTGTCAAAATATTTCTCACTTTCGAGATATAAAGCGTCAAAGATTTAGCATTCTGGCCCCTTTTGGCCCCTAATCATGTATTATATGACATTAAAATCATAATGTACAGTGGAAGATTGTTGAGATAAAAATTTTTGCTTCAGTAATGTATAACAAAATATTGACTGTAAAAGGGTAATCGAAAAAAGACTTTAAGCCCCTTTTGGCCCCTAATTTGAGTGTCCAGCCCCTTTTTGTTGGTTTAGTTTCATCTTGAAGCTCTTATAATTTTGAACACTTTTTGTTCAACAACTATTCAGAGATTCTTTTTCGTTTTCGAGTTATTTGCAAAAGAAATATTTAGGGGCCAACCCTTCGACTCCCTAATGGGGCCTTTTAGCGAAAAATGAAAGGTTGCATATTGTTCAGAACATGATTTTGAACATCTTTTGTTCAATATTACTTGTCAAAATATTTCTCACTTTCGAGATATAAAGCGTCAAAGATTTAGCATTCTGGCCCCTTTTGGCCCCTTATCATGTATTATACGACATTAAAAGCATAATATATAGTTGTAAAATGTTGAGATAAACATTTTTGCTTCAGTAATGTATAACAAAATATTGACTGTTAAAGAGTTATTGAAAAAAGACTTTAAGCCCCTTTTGGCCCCTAATTTGAGTGCCCAGCCCTTTTTTCTTGATTTCGTCTTAAAGCTCTTAAGATTTTGAACACTTTTTGTTCAATAATTATTCAGAGATTCTTTTTCGTTTTCGGGTTATTTGCAAAAGAAATATTTAGGGGCCAACCCTTCAACTCCCTAATGGGGCCTTTTAGCGAAAAATGAAAGGTTGCATATTGTTCAGAACATGATTTTGAACATCTTTTGTTCAATATTACTTGTCAAAATATTTCTCACTTTCGAGATATAAAGCGTCAAAGATTTAGCATTCTGGCCCCTTTTGGCCCCTTATCATGTATTATACGACATTAAAATCATAATATATAGTTGTAAAATGTTGAGATAAACATTTTTGCTTCAGTAATGTATAACAAAATATTGACTGTTAAAGAGTTATTGAGAAAAAACTTTAAGCCCCTTTTGGCCCTTAATGTGATGAGTCAGCACTTTTTTCTTGATATCAATTTAAAGATATTGTCATTCTGCACAAATTTTGTTCAGTATGTTTTAACAAAATAGTTATATTCTAAAAGATATGATACAAAATGTCTCGAAAATTCACTCTTGATTCGTGTCCTAAATTTTGACCCCTACCGAGCTTCCATACTATACAATTCTGGAAATTTTCAAAACTATTCTGCAATTCAACAAAGTGTCGTCTATCATCGCTGAAAATTTCAGCTCTCTAGCTTATGCCGTTTTTGAGATTACTCAAGGACAAGGAGACCCTCTAAAAATCACTGAAAGGGCGATAACTCACGACCGGAAGTAAATTTTTCAAAATTGAGTCGGGGGTACAAACTTCAGATATAAACACATAATCTCTGAAAATTTGAACAAAATCGATCGAACCGTCTTCGAGAAATCTTCTGCAAAAAAATTGTAAAGAAAAAAAAAAGAATAATAATAAAAGTGAAAAAGAAACAATAGAATAATAGAAGGGTCTTCCGTTGGAGACGGAAGACCCTAATAATAATAATAATAATAATAAGAAACAGAGTAAAAACAATATGTTCCCCAACTTCGTTTGGGGAACATAACTAAAGAAAGAAACATTTTGCGCTTTGTGTCTCACAGATCAGGTCTATGGATATGTAATCATAATTCTGTGATTTCTTAAGCAGATATTAATAGACGTTCGTCTGAAAATCCAGGTATTCAAATTGCATGTCCAAAAAGACCACATGACATTACGGTATTCAATAACGAAATATGCTATAGCTGTGGAAGTGAAGGGGTTTTCATTGTGGAAAATGGAGAGTCGAAACTGTGTCTTTCAATTCCTGGATGGCTAGCCGAAGGATTGTGTGCAACAAGTAAAAATGAGCTTCTTGTTTGTGTCTCCAATTCTTCGTCACAAGAAATTAAAATTATCAGATGTGATGCATCGAGGGACAAATCAGAATTAAAGATAACTCAAGAAATTCAATTTAATGGAGAACAACCTTTATTTCAATTCGGAGAATACGAACTCTTCATAGCTGAAAACAAAAATGAAGACATTTGTGTCTCTGACACAAATGCTGATGCAGTCATCGTCGTCGACAAATTGGGAAAATTAAGATTCAAGTACCAAGGAGAAGTTATGTTTGATAAAATATTATTTAGACCTGACCAAATCATCACGGACTCTCTTTGTAATATTATTGTTACTGATTATATGAACAATTGCTTGCATATTCTTGATCAAAATGGCTTATATCTGAAATGTGTGGACAATTGTGGATTAGACTTTCCCATACCCTTAGATATTGACGAGGAAGGTAATCTGCTGGTTGGAATGTACCTCTCCGGGCAGATTAAAGTGATACGTTATCGAATTTGATTAATATGACAGTATATAATAATTTTTTTCTCTAAATAAAACAAAACTTATTTATCATGGTAATGATATCAGAGTCATTTCTTTTAACATCCATTTTCTGTAAAGCAGCATTTGAACAACATAGAATTAAATTTTTTTGAATGTAGGAAAACTGATGGGAGAAAATTATTTTCAATAAGATGTGTACACCTACCTTAATTATCATTATCAATAGAAAGTACATGAATTGGTCTGAGAATGAATGAGTTAATACATGTTTATGTATAATAAATCATTTGTCAAAGATAACAAACCCCTTGACTTGTACGGTCCTCTGATTTTCACCTTTTAATTCACCCTTTTATTTTGAATGGGTCAACTTACAGCTGACGTGGCTGAAAATTTAAATATCAATAACTTTAATAAGTGTGTTTTAGAGTGTGAATATAAATAAAGGGACATATATACTGTGATATATATAATAGTCTGTTCGCTGCTTTTTAAAATTCCATTTTAAGACAGGAAATAAGTGCGAAATATGAATTATTCATTGAGTTCCACGGTAGGTTTTCTGCATCTTTTGCAATATAAGCGTTTTTCCATGTATACAATGTCATGTGAAATTTTCATAAATTATATGGTTACGACACTGCGACATTTGATCATATCCGTTAATACCGTATTGCTTTCCGATACTCTTATGAAAAATTGATCACATTTACATCTTTATCACTTTTCAAGTGACCTTAGAAGTGGATTTCCAGGACAAGTGTTTTATTCGGAACATTCATAATATGAATTCAAAGTCAACACAGTTGTATATACGTAACTACATGCTTGAATGTCTGAATTACCTACTTGCATACCCCGGTATGTAGAATATGACACATATATACGATTACAAGTTTGGATTTACAAACTTACAAGATCGGATTTACAAAAGAATGGAGTTTTGAACACGATTACCCTTAATACAGCGGCAAGTGTAAGCATTCTAAAGGCGGCAACACATTTGTATGTAAAAGGTCGTAGTTTGATTCATAAGAATTTATGTAAAATGAGTTATTGGATAATTTTTTGCTTCACATATTTAGCTTTGTCATTATGTCGCGCCGAACGAAGTCGATTGCGATTGTACGCATGTTTTTGTTCTCCAGGCTGTTTCTCGGAGATGGCTGGGACAATCTTCCTGACACTCTTCTCAAAGGAGGATCACTGGTGGTAGTTGTGTTGTGTGGTCATTCAGTTTCAAAATGCTACCGTTGCCATGGAAACCTGCTAAAAGCTCTCTGGTTCCTTGAACATTCTTCATGAAATTTTATTGATGTAATAATTAGTATCTGTAATTGTGCTCATTGGATTTAAAAATTGCAAATTGTCAATAGTTTCCATGGAAACATGGGAAAATTCTTTAACTTTGATTTTTAAATCAAAGTATCTAAAGTACTGATACGAATTGATGGTTGTCCAAGCTTAGTTAATGGGTATTGTTTTAGTGATGAGAAAATGAAAGTCTCGTCCAGTTCGGGGCGACATACGCTATTGCTTGCAATAGCACACTTTCTAGCTTTATTTGAAGTAGGAAGGCAAAGAACTGTCTATTTTGTAAGAGAAAGAACTGATCAAGGGCCTTGTGCTCTAACTCAGTTAATTTCTCTTTAAAAAAGCCAACTTTCAACAAAATATTAGATGTAAAATCACTTTTGGAAGTTTTTCAATTAAAAAAAATTTTTGGAAATGATATAGGCAACTGTATATAAATTATGTTGATTTCTGTATTAATGAGGGGTTGCTTTTGGAGTAGCAAAGTTTTAGCTACAGTTTTAGCTTAACAGAGAACAATACAAACATGCTGTATGTATTTATTAAAACCACATGAGTTGCATTAAATTGGTTCTATGAATTTTTGACTTACTTGACATAATTACAATGTATGAGTGGTCCATGCCTATGGTTGGAAACAAATTTAAAGTTATTATTTACTAAAAATTTTCAAAATAAAATAATGATTATAAGTTGCTATGACATTTTACACCAAAATATATACATATGTATATCAATTGCAAGTTTAGAAACTTCTTTCATTTGTTTTCTAAAGATTCGTGCATTTAGTTCGGTATCGAAGCGTGTCGTTTTAGTAAAATATTTATTATATATACAGTGAAGTCACTGGGACCTATGAAATTACTTCGCATTACATGTATCTTTAATTCGTTATATCCGTATACGGATCTATGCTGGGGATCCAATATAAAATTTGCAATATCAGTGTTCCTACTAAACAAGTTTTACTGTATATAAAATGTGTTACTTCTTCAAAAACCTTCAACTAAATGCAAAGTTATAATGATGAGGACTTCTCTTCCAATTGTTGATATGATCCCATGACCCTCATCAGTTCTGGTGCTAGGATAGGACTGTGTGAATCTACAGTATAAAAGCATTATTCCATAGAAAATTGTCTCTGTTCTTCAGCATATCGGAGGCAACCAAAGTAAAAGTTTTAATAAGGATTAAAAACGGGTATTTTACCAGATGTTGAATATCTGGACTTTGTGTATTCAAAAGGTTAGAATAAGTGAATTATTTAAGAATTTTATTGCATAATGCAAAAAGTACTTTCATGGTTTTATGATCAGTTAGACATGCATGCCAGTAATAAATAAAAAAGAGGAAGAAAAAAAGGTCACATTAAAAGTTTTTCAAACACCAGGAGAGGCCAATGGTAAAGTTTTCAATAAGGGGTTGAAAAAGTACATAATAATTAATAATGGTTTGTTAATAGACTATATAATGAGAATGAGAAAGTGAATAAAATAATTTGTGTTTTTTTTACATTGGGACCAAATTTTACAAAATTCTTCCACTTTTCGTGAAAAATATCATTCAGGTTACACATTTCATATTGATCTATATAAGATATATTGCTGATTTCTGGAAAAAAAAGTTTTTAAACGTATTTCATTGAATAAATCAAAAGGATTGGAAACAAGTTCTTTCAACTTACGAGTTCCTTTACTTAGATATATCATACGTCATGCAATTAAAATAAATGAAGTACATGGGCATAAAAATCAAAAGTGATAAAGGTGAAATACTTGTTCATTAACATAACAATTTAAGGGGGCCGACTATAGTTTTATTGTGTGAAAACTACAATAGCGAAACTCTTCATTTTTATACCATATATAACTTACATTAACTTTAGTGTACATGCAAAGTTTGGGGGAAATCTACCGTCCAGGTATTTTTGAGGGACCGTCTCAAAATACAGGTACATTTACTATAGGATTTTAGAGGAAAATGCCAATTTTTAGCACTTTAAAGCAAATTATACAAATACTACAATAGACATTTTGTTCAAACTATAATATTTGATGCGTAATACTGTGTTATACAATATATGTAAGAAACACAAAATTCTACCGTCTTATTACCAGAGGGGGCATCTCAAAATGCAAAAAATTAGCAAATTTTACTATTTTTGTAGAGTATTACAAAACATGACGTACACAATGGATTCACATGAAAACATGATAAAAATATTGGAGATACTCTCAAATTTCTATGTTTTAAAATTCAAGAGCGTATGTTTATTACTCTTTCCTTAATTATATTTTTATTACCCCTTTCTTTAAGAGCTACGGATTATCATAACGTCAAAAACACACTGCAACGACGTCAGCCTACCTATCAATTGCAAAATCGGTTTAAAAATCAGTTATATCAAATTGTTATTACATTTTTATACTTATAATTTCTTAATTTTGTTTAATTTTAATAATTAAGCAAAAAAAGTTGCATTAAAACAGTAAATACGCTTTATTTTACTATGATGCGCGAAATATTGCGCAATGGAAACTATAGTCGGCCCCCTTAAAATCTACAGAACTGATCAAAAAATGTACGTGCAACAGCAAAAATATTTGTACTAGTTTCTACTGAGAAATTTGTATCACCACATAATAACAAAAAATTGTGTCAACATTGACCAATTCGTCAAGTTTATTTTTTATATTTCTTATGACTATTAAAAGTGCACATGTAAAATAGACAAGGAATATACAAGGAAAATTTATCATCATGCTTAAAAACTTATTTATGTATTTTATTTTAAGTATTAAATTTGTTCATCTATTTCTTTTAAAATATAGCATCTCTTAGAATTTGAAATCAATGTTTATTTCCTGTACACTTTTAAAATCATATTGAAAACATAATTAAGTTACGATAGATTCATTTGTTTAAGTTATACTAGTATATACAGGTAATCTCTTTTAATCATCTTATTATTAGATGAGAATTTATCTTATAGATTTTTCTTTGCTTTATAGATTTGGTTATATCTGCACTGCTAATACACAAAAAAACTATTAAAATCCAGATAACAGCCAATCAAATTGATTTTCAACAAAAATTAAATGTCATTATGATAAAAAATCAACGGCTTAAAACATGTTCCCAGTGTCCACGGGGGATCGAGCATGTTTGCGAAATTTGCCAGGATAGTTTCTGTGGAAAATGTGTGAACCAGCATGTAGATGAATCAAGAAATTACTATCATTCCATAGTTCTGTACAGATACAAGAACTCTAATATGGTCATTCCATCCTGCAGCAAGCATCCTTGTTACAAACTTGATACTTTCTGTCGACAATGCAACGTCCCACTTTGTCTAAAATGTTGGAGGTCATCTAATGTCCATGATAAACATACCCTTGGTTACATGCAGGAATTCATAGAAAGGCAAAAGAAACAAATTTCAGCAGATTCGGGCATTCTACAATCAACTATCATGCCAAAACTGCTAAACGAACGCATCTCTTTGGAAAAACAGTACAAGCATGCAAACAATGAAATTGATGCAGTGTTAAAGAAAGCAGAGGAATTAAAATACAGTATCTTCGAGAACATTAATACAGTCTTTAATAGTTTTCAAAAACGAATGAATGATGAAAAGGAAATTATACAATCAAAATTTCAAAACCAGAAAGTTTGTGTAGATGAAGCATATTCTAAAGCATCACGGGAGCTTCGAAAAAATAGTGACATACTTCAATTGGAGAATGAAAAAGATATTTTAAAGATGATATTAAACTTCAAAAAGGATGACCAGGCATACTCTATCAAAGACCACTTTCCCTGTGACGTTCAAAATAATATCACATCTCCCATTTTTGTCCATGGTAAGTTTCTTAGTCTGGTACAAGAAGTACAGAATGGTGGATTCGGAAGCCTTGAGGTTGATCTCCATTATAATTCTGCAGAAGACTCGGTCTCCCATGATGGACCAGGATTGCTAAACAAAGCTTTAGTTATAAAAACGATTCAAGCGAAGACCAGGAACATTTTGCGGTTTGTGTATGCGGGATCCGATATATGGATATGTAACCCGAAACCAATAATATACCACGTACATTTACTTGGGGATTCCACCGATGAAAAAAAGAAAATAATGTGTCCAGATAGGCCACGTGATATTGCGATGGTTGATAATGAAATATTCTACAGCTGTGGAAAAGAGGGTGTTTTCAGTGTGGAAAATGGTGTGTCAAAATCGTTACTATCAATTTCCGGATGGATGGCCGAAGGACTGTGTGCAACAAGTACAGGCGGACTTCTGGTTTGTGTCTGTAATGCGTATTCAAAGGAAGTTAAGATTATCAGGTGTGATATGTCGAGGATAAGTGGAGATTTAATAATAACTCATGAAGTCCAGTTTAATGGAGAGAAACCTTTGTTTCATTTCGGAAAATTTGAACACTTTGTTGCAGAGAATAAAAATGGGGACGTCTGTGTCTCCGATGCAAATGCTGTTGCAGTTATTGTAGTTGACAAGGCAGGGAAATTCAGATTTAAGTTCCAAGGAAATGTTATCATTTACAAAAAAATATTTTCGCCGGACCAAATCACCACGGACGTTGAATGCAATATTATCGTATCTGACTATATGAACAATTGTTTACACATTCTTGACCAAAATGGTTCGTATTTAAAATGTTTGGACAATTGTGGATTAGACTTTCCCATACCTTTAGATATTGACGAAAATGGTGATCTGCTTGTTGGGATGTACCTCACCGGGCAGATTAAAGTGATACGATATCGCAAATGACGGTTAAAATAGAAATACCCCTGATAACAAACAAATATAATCCTGTAATCAGGTTTTACCCAATTAATAAAGTTTCTTTGAAAAATTTATTTATTTCTGTTGATTGAGATTTCTGCAGAGTTGAGTTCTACCTCTTGTTGATTTCGTCGGATTGAAAAATGTCGTGGTAAATGTCCAAACACAGCATATCTCGACTTTGTTTTGTTTTGTTTGTTTCTTGTTTAACATCCCTCTCGAGAATTTTTCACTCATATTGAGATGCCACCACTTGCCGGTGGAGAGCTGCAAATTTTGACTTATATTCCTCACTTAAGGCGTCAGTTTAAACAGTCTCATCCGAAGGACCGGTCTCTACTCTCCACTTTGATGCTACAGTGTTGATTTTACAGTGTTTAATTTTATAAAATTTTATATTTAGTTTACTGTTGTATATAAATGGTATCTACTCGGCATTTTATACATGTACTATTTAAAACAATTAAGCTCTAAGATATGAAACCCTATCGAAGTCACAGCCTAAAGTACATAATTATTCTTTTAATACCGTTTGTCCAAAAGGGTATCAGCGCTAGAAAAATTGCCTTATTTTTGTCTTTTATGTATATGTGCAATAAATATTTGAACCTAGTACACAGTTCACTGGTATAGTGAATTGTTGTATGCGTATTGAATTAGAATTTTAGGTACCTAGGTGTTGTGCATGGAGTTTACTTTTGAAGCGGATATTGTGGTTTCATCAATTTTCGTGGATTTTGTAAAAAGGACCATTTCGAGGATACGTAATTTCATGGACGAAAGCACTGCGTATACAAATGAATAACATATTTCTTGATTCAATGAACATTAAAATTCGTGGATCAGCTCAACAACGAAATCCTCGAAAATTGGTGCTCAACGAATATTGATGAAATCACATTATTAGGAATGTGATTCTCGTACTTAAAATGCATGTTTTGAAGCAGAAAACAAGACTTTAACCACCGGGGCTACATCGACACAATGTACTATACATATAGATTTATAATTAAGTACATACAAGGGTTGTCCGTAAAGTTTGTAAATACGCTAAAATTTAAATAAAAATGGTGTCATTGATATTTATTATTAGCATATTTATAATCCCATATTAAATATGAATTTCAAAATGTAAAATTATATTCAACTTTCTATACAAAGATTAAATTTTATCAAGTGGCACAAGATCTTGCCTTTATGTATTTCTAAAAATACTCATCAAAAGATCCTTTAAAACATTTCATTTGTTGTAGACTTGTAGCGTAGTTAAATTAAACTTATAAATGCATAGATTTATTTTGTGGGCTTGAATTCCCCACCCCATCGCGGAAAAAAAAATTAAATGATAATTTCTATGCACTTTGCAAAGGATTCATGAAAATCGTAAGAATGTTGATAACTTTTAAAAAAATCTCTTTTCAATAATGACTTGGAATAATCGTTGTTATTTAAATACAACGTATCAATTATTCGGGGAGAAAATTTTTCTTTAATCTTTCCATTCACAACACAAATTTTAGTAATTATAAAGTACAAAGTATACAGTACAATTAATAAAGGTAACAAATGACGAGAACTCATTTTAGGATATTCAGCTTCGCTTGTTTTAATTGTTCCAAGGAGCTGCAGTTATAAAGATAAAAGACAAACAATCACTCAAAAATGGTGAAAAGAATCAGAGAGGCAGACATTGTTTTCTTCGATTTAATAAACTTAATTTTTCAAGCAACTTAACCAATTTTAAGCAAACAAGGTGAATCTATCCAACCACTGTCTCCCTTTTCCATTTGGTCAATTATTTGTCTCTCCTGACCTTCATTTCTGATCTTATCAAATATTTAGTTATTTGAGTCCATGTGTCCCAGGTAGCTCCTTCGCCATCACCTTTAAATATAAAAACAGAAAATATATAATATATAAAATTAGATTAAGGACTGCATTGATATCGGTCTTGTGTTATATATCATCCACACATTATTACTTAATTGTTACCTTAGTAAATATATCAAAAATTGGAATCTGAATAGAAGATATATCTATATCTAATATTATATGGGATACACTGAGCCCATTTTTGCTCAGCTAATATCATTTATCTAGCTGAAAGGAATTGGTAATCCTGGTTTACAAGACATATTGACATATATATCTGAATATTCCAATAAATTGTTAAATTAGTTGTGTATATTAATAATTGTAAAATCACTTTTATGCTTTATCTTTTTTCCCAATGTCTTTGTACAAGAAAAAACCTCAAATAAAGTAATGGCTGTAAACCTCAAAAAACGATTTGCTCAGCACGTCACAGAACAGCAAGTTTTCTCACCTCTTCGCTAAGCAAGGGTCCGCTCAGCACCCCATACGGGACTGAAAACGCTTTGCAAGCGATCGATTGTGTGATTGTATTTATTATTTTACCTCCCATTCGAAAATTTATCACTCATAGAAAGAAGTCACCTACCCGGTATACCAGTGAAGGGCTTCAAATTTAGACCTTTGCTCGGCACTCATGGTCATTGCACAGTGGTAGATTTTTTCGTGCCAACGCCTCCCATGACACAAGGCCTCGGTTTGAGGTCTCATCTGCAGGACTTGTATCTTATCACTGTGTGTTGCTTAATTATACGTCTGGCGAGTTACGAGGTACATGAGGTATGCTGAGAATCCTTATTAATACTAACATTTTTATAATAACATTTTTATTGTTCTAAGGATTAGGTTAAAATGTAAATATGAGGAAAAACTTTTTCAGTTATACCATGATAATTGAGCAAATTGCTTGCATGATAATTTTACACATATGCAAAGTAATACGCAATTAAACTTATTAATCACACCATAAAACTGAAAAAAATGTCGACAGTAACAAACCTGCCGTTCCTGAGTAACCATATGCTGTAATTGTGTAGTTGGTGCTGGCATTTGCAACCAAGAAGGTACTGTATTCAGCGTAAGTAGTTCTCCCGTTATGATCAACCATGTCTACTCGCAATACACTGTTGCCGCTTGTCGTTAACAAGTGAAGAATTTCACTCCCTGAAGATAAAGGGGAAATTTATGTAAAAAGAAAATGAAACTGGGAATAATACTACAGAACTGATAGCATGAATTGTTGGGGGAGGGGGGGGGGGGCAGAGGCAAACTTTTTTCACTATCAATGCCTTTCAACATCCATTTTTAAGCTTACCATTACTATATTTCCTTCACATTACTTTACTCTAGTATAAAGTGGGGGGGGGGGGGGGCAACCAGGCTTTCAATGAACATTTTCAATAGTAAAAGTATTGTTGGCAAAAAAAGTGGGGGGCCAGGCCCCCCTGCCCCCCCCCTCCCACCCCCCGTTGCCTGCACAGAATAATGATCGGGGTCAAGTTCGTCAAGTATCGGTCAAAAGGACATGAAAGAAGAATTAACATTGAGATTCAAACTATGACCTCAATCACTTGTTATAAATCTGTTATGTATCACTCTGTTGGAAAAGAAGTCATTTTTCAACGGGGGTCAAATTTTTATAGGATGCACATAGACCCCTAGGGCTGTTTTTTTTTTCTACAAAAAAATCTTCTTTTTTTTCACGGTTGGGGTCATTTTTCATAGAAGAATTACTCCTCTGTCATTATTCTATGGGGGTAATTATTCGTCTTACATCGGTACTCAAACCATACATGTATATTATGGACTGAAATTTTGCATAGCAAGCATAATTGCTTACTATTACGAAAAGGCGTTAATTTAATTATCTAAGCCAATACAAACCTAGCCAAAATTCTTGCAACAAATCCCCGAAACCCTTCACATAGTCTGACCAAGGCCTACTAAAATCTTCTGACCCGCCAAACATTCTCTGGAAAACCTGCATTGGTAAAAATAAATGAAAGGATGAATTCTTTGCACTAATCAAGCTTTTATTATATAAGAAAAAACAACAAACAATCAATCAATCAAATGAATTCATTAATTATAACCTAGCACATTATTCTATATTTTTATAGCTAAAACATCTTGCTCTTTGAGATTCGATGTTGAATAAAGATCTTGCTACTTTGTAACGTCATGATCAGTAACAAACCTAAATCTACACCAAATTCATTACAAAACCTGAGGTACTGTGAGCACTGAGCCCACTTAATGATACCCCTGCCTCCCATATGATTTTAATGGCAGTGTCCATGTTTTGCTATGGGAGACCCGAAAAATGCGTCCGATCAAAAATTAAAATAAGAGGTGTAAACTGGCACAATGTAACAAAATAAAATTTGAAAGACTCATAAAATTTCATTCAGTGATATAAGAGGAGTTGCGGATAGGAGATGGGTACCCCCAAAACGTAACTTACGGCCGGACACCCCCACCCCCTGCTTTTCAAGCAGGATATATACATGTAATTAAGGTATTGAGAGTCATGGCCCAAAAATCACTAACCTTGTGCCGGGGCCTTGAAACAGCTTAACGTCCTTGACAGTTATAAAGTCAATGGACACAATTTTATAACAAGTTTATAACAAGATGTTAGACAGACATCCATTCTTTAAACTAGAAGTACTGCGAGCACTGAGCTCACTAAATGATATACCCCTGCCTCCCACATGATTATGGTGGCAAAGTCCATGTTTTGCTCTGGATTACCCGAAATGAGTGTCAGATCAAAAAGTAAAATAGGAGGTGTCTAATATGGCATTATGTAACAAAGAATCAGTAAAAGTATCATCAAATTTTATTCAGTGGTTTAGGAGGAGTTGAGGATAAGGTATGGGTACCCTTAATTATTGGCAGTGTCCATTGTTTTACCATGGGAAATCCGAATTATACGTCCAATCAAAAAGTAAATAAAGAGGTCACAATGGCACTATATAGCAAATATTCTGTGAAAGTTTCATCAAATTCCATTCAGTGGTATAAGAGGAGTGACGGATAAGAGATTAGTACCCTAAAGCGTAACTGATGGACGGACATCCCGATCATTAGTATATACCCTCCCACTTTTCGTCACGACCCTTTTGAGTGGGACATAATACCATATTTTTCGAATAATTATTCCTTATTTGTGTTAATAACATGAATCCAATAGATTATATTTAAAGTACATGTATTTTAGACATAAAGTCCACACAAAATTATCCCTTTGCCTATTCTACCAGAAGATTGTCTTA